ATGTGGGTATTTTGTTCGTTTTAGGCATTGCCATAGATTTACGATTTTTAGAGACAGGAGAAGATGCTGCTACTTTTGCATATGTCACCTGATCTCCTTCCACTTTAGTTTGTTCAGCGCCAATTGAATCATTAGTTGATATAGGACGAGATGCAGTAGACACATCGTTCGACAATTCTATAGGTTCTACTCTTTCAAATGAAGTAGAGGCATTTTCATTAGGTATTGTATGATCACATCCATTGTTCTCGGTAGGATTAATCAGTTCATTCGAGACAATAGGGCTGCATACTTTAGCTTTGTTACCATTACAGATGTTTTCCCGATTTGCATATTCAAAAGACTCGTTCGTTATAATTGTTGACTCAGTTCGAAATTCATCATCGGGAATCTTTTTATTTCTATCCATAAACTCTTGAAATTGGCGAATTGCCGGTCCTATGTTAGAAATCGATTCCGATATAGCTTGGATCGCTTCGGAATTGGTTAATTGGCCAAGCTTAAGACTTTCGAGGTCTTCACAAACATCTTGCATGCTTGATTGCTTAGCAACTGAAATGTCCTCGTCCTGCTTACATATCTGCTTGCATAATTCCTTCATAACATCGCCCGCTTTCTCGCCATTAAGATACAACAAGTTTTTATTCTTTTTCCATATTATTACTGAATCATCAAAGGTAAATAGCTTTTTGTCACCGCCAGGTTGAGACCATGTTCCATTGAGCTGCAGATCTTCGCTAACAAACCGCTTTAGGCATTCAAAATCGCCAGCCCATGCAAAGCATAACTTGTCTCTTAATTTTGTCGCCATAAGTAGGTCATTTGGTCATAAAACCAGTGCAAAGAATCCTCAAATATCACTTAATGTTATCACAAACAATTACTTATGTTACTTTAAACCAAGATGCGTGGTTCTCATCATAGTACTTGACAGTTTTATCACTTCTATGCTATATAGCAAAGCACATATTTACTGGAATAGTATTGTATAATAGCGGTATTGAAGTGGTTATTATAGTCTAGGACCTGTATATGAGTTTAGATGAATGGGTAAATAAAGCACAGTGTTATTTTGTGTCTCTGGCGCAAGAATGATCGACAATATTTTGAATAATTCAGGTAAGGATGGCTTTATTTCGTTCTCGTATAGTGATGTAGTCGTGCCGTGTGCCCTGTCTATACCTGTCTGGTAATATATTTTATAATACATGAAGGCATTTATATTTAAATCTGCTGTTTATACTTGTTTAGTCACTTTAGTGTATTAAACTTCGATATAGAGGCATTGAAACAATATGATTTCAAGAATATATCGGCAATTATAATACCCACTGAATCACTGATCTATTCCCGACCAAATCGACAGTAATGATTAATGCCTTTGTGCTGATACAAGAAGCAAATGAACTTTTAGTTTATTTGTTTGTTATGTCACTTAATATGTGCAAAGCCAAAGGCGGTGAGTATATAATAGTGTTCGGTACGTTCTATTTCTAGATGTTTATAGTTTAAAAACAAACGCGAGATGTTGTTAAGTCAGGCTTAACAAGATTCCTAGAGCTACCCAGTGTGGATTGTTGTCTCCATATATGGACTTATCAGCAATTACATGTAATATAGCATATCAACTGACTTTTGTATAAGATATGACTTGTATAAGACTGCCTCAGTTATATATAAAGCCTATACACATGATTCTACTGACATACATTGATATATACATATGGCTGTGTTACCACAATAATGCTTACAACTTCAACTTCTTTCTAGGCCAAAAAAAAAAATATGTGGGTTTCCGGTTTCCCGACCCTACCTAGCTTTTCGACGTCGAAATGCCGACCCTAAACTTTTTTATTGGATCATGCTTGTAAGTGTTTCCACTTAGAGGAAAAGTTTGTGGAAAATTGAAATTTGAGGCAATATTAGGGAAATTTATCTTTCGATGTGGAAGCACCCACTAAACAAAATGGCGTCCGCTTATTCGGAAAATTAAAAAAAAAGTTTAAAAAAAAAAAGTTAAAACCGACCTACCCTACCTAAGTTTTTATAAGAAGAAACCGGAAACCCACATATTTTTTTTTTTGGCCCTAACAATATAGTTTTGCAGTTCTGACTGTTTTGAGTATGATCTTATTTATTCAGAAATATAAGCATTGCACTGTATTCAATGGCAAGCTATCCTGGATTCCAGAGCCTTCAGTTAATAATAAATTGAAATATCGTGAAGGCTCTGGTTCAACGGGAGGATTCTTTGATTAAACTGTGCCAATCACAAAACAGAATTAGCAGTTTTAGTACAGATTTTGGGCGTGTTAACCCATGAAGCGCCAGCGCTCTCCCCTTGATGAGTAAAATCGTCTGGCGTTAGACAGATCGAGTAAAATACTCTGGCGTTAGACAGAGTAAAATACTAAAGTAGAGTGCATCAGGGTGCAATGCGACCCAATGGGTTAACTAGACACATGGGCAGATAGATCAGTTAACCCATTAAGCGCCAGCACTCTCCCCTTGACGAGCGTCTGGCGTTAGTAAAATACTGTTCAAAGTAGGGTGCATCAGGGTGCAATGCGACCCGATGGGTTAACTAGACACATGGGCAGATCAGTTAACCCATTAAGTGCCAGCGCTTTCCCCTTGACGAGTAAAATCGTCTGGCATTAGACAGAGTAAAATACTGTTCAAAGTAGGGTGCATCAGGGTGCAATGCGACTCAATGGGTTAATATAGTACATAACATAGGTCATAGACATACAGTTTCAATACAATACAAAACGATTTTGAACAACGTCAAGGTCAATGAAATCATACAAAATGAATTTATGGAATATCAATTAAATGTATTTAAAACAAACATAATTTCAACGTCCCAATAAGCAATAACATCCCAGTAAGTATAAATTCAACTATTTTAAATCAATTGTTTGAACAGCCAAATTAAAAGTTGTACGAGTGACAAAATCATTCAATAATATTCACATTTTATCATTTATATTATGTGTCAACTATCAAAGTCGCACTGTTAAGTATATTAAAATATACTTTTCATAAGATTAGATTAAGATATAATTGTACGAAGGTAACTGAGGAACGACGATGTGTAAGACAATAAATCATACATACAGTGAAAAACGCTCTTTTTGTAGCACATCCTACATGTACATATCGGCAGCATTTTCCTTGCGATAGTAACTCCTAGTTTAGTTGTACATTAATACGAAGTACTGGAACAGTACGCCTAGTCACAGAATAGGAAGGTATACCCATTGAACTAAAAATAACTGGAACGATACCTCCAGCCGGAAATGTGAAGCCATGCCCAGACATGCCCACTGTTGTCATGCCCAGTCTTTTCACGTAACGGAAATGAACGCGGGTTTTTTAAATTTCCAAAACTGGGTAAAAAATGCACTAAAACACGATTTAAAACGACGTAAAATCCACCTACCAGTACATTTTTTACAATAAAAACATCCTTCAAAACTCTAGAGTAAAATATTTTTAATTTATTTGTGTAGAATTCATAATTAAATTTCCTTTCTTGATAACTTTAACACATTTCTTTGCGTTTAATATTAGATCGGAACAATGAAATCTGGACGTTTTGAGTGTGAAATTGTAAATGGTATATATCGTGTCGACTGTCGACAAGCACTCTACTCATATATGTTTCAAAACTCTGCAAACGCAAGCTTGCTATTGGTCTATATATGTATATGAACTTGAATTACAGGAGCGAAACGCTTGAAAATATGAAAAATTGCTAATACAAAACCATGTGCTTGACAGTCGACACGATATATACCATTACAATTTCACACTCAAAACGTCCAGATTTCATTGTTCCGATCTAATGCAACGTAACCAAACGTTCAAATATTAAACATAAAGAAATGTGTTAAAGTTATCAAGTTTTACGGTTGAATGAGAATAATATAAACATTCATATAATATCAATACCTCTACATTGTGTCTTTGTCCATTTCGACTATGGCTTGGCGGGAATTTTTAAAATATCCCTAATTCACCCCCAGTCTGCATTTTATCCTCAGTCTGCATTTTATACCCCCAGTCTGCATTTTGTACCCGGTCTGCAGTCTGCAGATTATACTGACCGCTTACGGTAGCCATTAATTTTGGAGGTTGGTAAATTCGTTCTTAATTAAAGTTTTTTTGTAACAGGTTAGCGAGAAAACATTTCGACAAGTTTACAAGCGAGATCTTGCTGATTTATGAAAATCCTGAAAAGTTACACTGCGGCGCTATACCATGCCCAAAATAAGCAGTTTGTGGAAAAATATTGAAAGCATGTGTGCTATCATACCCTCGATTCCAGAGCCTTCGACAATAAATAATAAATTGAAACATCGCGAAGGCTCTGGTTCAAAGGGAAGATTCTTTGATTAAACTGCGCCAATCACAAAACAGAATTAGTGGTTTTAGTAATTAGTACAGATTCTGTACTAACAGCACTAATTCTGTTCTGTGATTGACACGGTTCATAAATCAAAGAATCTTCCTGTTGAACCAGAGCTTTGGCAATGTTTCAATTTGTTATTTGCTGTCAAAGGCTTTGGAATCCAGGGTAGTGCTATCGTAACAAAAGAGGAACATTTGTTTGCTTTTTGAAATGAAATAGAACATATAATTATATCATTTTAATGACTTGCTTCCGATTTTCAGAGAGGTCTTGGAAACATTACTAATTGTTGATACTTTTGAAATATTCAGCAACTTGCCGATGAAATTTTTATAAAATATTGCCATAAAATATATAACATTCTAAGGCTATATATATATTGATACTATTGATACTATAGTGCTGTTCCAACGTACAATAATGTGAAAAAAAGAGATGAAAAAGTTTTTTCATCAAGTGAGAAAAATTTCCGGAGAAACTTTCCAAAATTGTTGTCGCTCCAATATTGTTTAGGTCCATTTTTTTAAGTATTTTATAAAGCGTATGCTATGTATGTGCTAAGAAGCTAGTTTTGTGTGGAAAGCAAAAGTAGCGAAGGTAAAGAGATTAAAATTGGATTTAGTGCGTATTTTTGAAAAAATTTTACCACCAAATATGGTAGTCCCCCCCCCCTGTCGATGACACTTGGGACCATAGATTAGTGATGGGCGATACCAGGATTTTTATTTCGATACCGATACCGATACTTTTAAGATCAGTATCGGCCGATACCGATACCTATTTCGATACCAAAATGAACACAAAATTTCAATTTTCGATACCGGAAGTGAGTACTTAAATTGCTAGTATCGGCTACTTTCAATACCTGCCGGTCAGCGGAAAAACATTTTAAATTATTGTGTGTAACCTAAATAAAGCTATATGTAAACCAAAAGCCCGAAACGTAATAAATATTTTCTATACATGACTTGGCGCACCACATTTGGAATATTAAGAGTTATTTTAGTGGTTCATTAAGTCTTATTCAACCAAGAAGAGAAAATAAACAAGTCGTTTAAAAAAGGATGCAAGTATCGAACGATACCACGTCAGTAATCGATACCGATACCGCAGTTTGTGGTATCGCTGGTATCGAATACCGAGTACTCGGTATCGCCCATCACTACCATAGATATAGGAGAACTAGCAAGTCCTGAGATCTTCTTCATGTCCTTCCTTCGTTTGTAGCAGAATGACTAAAAAAGAGACGGAGAAAAGCAGAAACTGCTCTGTGTAATCATGAGCTGGCCGATCACTGAGACACTGGCACACTGAGAGGTTGTCTGTATATCTGTTGCAGGGCAGGGCTGTGGTAAATATTACTGGAGGGGAATGCATTTTTGGAACAGACGGACATACAGATTTTCTGTGCAATTACATAATTAGATTGTGACAATACAATAGATAAAACCAGGGGGGGATGGGGTGTGGGTCATGCATTGCACACACTGAGAGGTTGTCTGTATATCTGTTGCAGGGCAGGGCTGTGGTAAATATTACTGGAGGGGAATGCATTTTTGGAACAGACGGACATACAGATTTTCTGTGCAATTACATAATTAGATTGTGACAATACAATAGATAAAACCAGGGGGGGATGGTCTGTGAGTCATGCTTTGCACACACTGAGAGGTTGTCTGTATATCTGTTGCAGGGCAGGGCTGTGGTAAATATTACTGGAGGGGAATGCATTTTTGGAACAGACGGACATACAGATTTTCTGTGCAATTACATAATTAGATTGTGACAATACAATAGATAAAACCAGGGGGGGATGGGGTGTGAGTCATGCATTGCACACACTGAGAGGTTGTCTGTATATCTGTTGCAGGGCAGGGCTGTGGTAAATATTACTGGAGGGGAATGCATTTTTGGAACAGACGGACATACAGATTTTCTGTGCAATTACATAATTAGATTGTGACAATACAATAGATAAAACCAGGGGGGGATGGGGTGTGAGTCATGCATTGCACACACTGAGAGGTTGTCTGTATATGTGTTGCAGGGCAGGGCTGTGGTAAATATTACTGGAGGGGAATGCATTTTTGGAACAGACGGAAATACAGATTTTCTGTGCAATTACATAATTAGATTGTGACAATACAATAGATAAAACCAGGGGGGATGGGGTGTGGGTCATGCATTGCACACACTGAGAGGTTGTCTGTATATCTGTTGCAGGGCAGGGCTGTGGTAAATATTACTGGAGGGGAATGCATTTTTGGAACAGACGGACATACAGATTTTCTGTGCAATTACATAATTAGATTGTGACAATACAATAGATAAAACCAGGGGGGGATGGGGTGTGGGTCATGCATTGCACACACTGAGAGGTTGTCTGTATATCTGTTGCAGGGCAGGGCTGTGGTAAATATTACTGGAGGGGAATGCATTTTTGGAACAGACGGACATACAGATTTTCTGTGCAATTACATAATTAGATTGTGACAATACAATAGATAAAACCAGGGGGGGATGGGGTGTGGGTCATGCATTGCACACACTGAGAGGTTGTCTGTATATCTGTTGCAGGGCAGGGCTGTGGTAAATATTACTGGAGGGGAATGCATTTTTGGAACAGACGGACATACAGATTTTCTGTGCAATTACATAATTAGATTGTGACAATACAATAGATAAAACCAGGGGGGGATGGGGTGTGAGTCATGCATTGCACACACTGAGAGGTTGTCTGTATATCTGTTGCAGGGCAGGGCTGTGGTAAATATTACTGGAGGGGAATGCATTTTTGGAACAGACGGACATACAGATTTTCTGTGCAATTACATAATTAGATTGTGACAATACAATAGATAAAACCAGGGGGGGATGGGGTGTGGGTCATGCATTGCACACACTGAGAGGTTGGCTGTATATCTGTTGCAGGGCAGGGCTGTGGTAAATATTACTGGAGGGGAATGCATTTTTGGAACAGACGGACATACAGATTTTCTGTGCAATTACATAATTAGATTGTGACAATACAATAGATAAAACAAGGGGGGGATGGGGTGTGAGTCATGCATTGCACACACTGAGAGGTTGTCTGTATATCTGTTGCAGGGCAGGGCTGTGGTAAATATTACTGGAGGGGAATGCATTTTTGGAACAGACGGACATACAGATTTTCTGTGCAATTACATAATTAGATTGTGACAATACAATAGATAAAACCAGGGGGGGATGGGGTGTGAGTCATGCATTGCACACACTGAGAGGTTGTCTGTATATCTGTTGCAGGGCAGGGCTGTGGTAAATATTACTGGAGGGGAATACATTTTTGGAACAGACGGACATACAGATTTTCTGTGCAATTACATAATTAGATTGTACATTAATTAATACGAAGTACTGGAACAGTACGCCTAGTCACAGAATAGGAAGGTATACCCATTGAACTAAAAATAACTGGAACGATACCTCCAGCCGGAAATGTGAAGCCATGCCCAGGCATGCCCACTGTTGTCATGCCCAGTCTTTTCACGTAACGGAAATGAACGCGGGTTTTTTAAATCCCATTAATAAATCACGCAAATCCTTTGTGGCCAAATTGGGTGACGGAAAGTGCGGTTTCTTGGGGGTAAGGGGCCCCCAGAAAAGCTGGAGAAACAACAACAGGGTGAGAGTACGGGGCCCTCACCGTTATGGACATTGAATCTCATGTCCGAGCCGGGCTTCCCCGTGGTGAAGTGATCGAGAGATGCGAAGATCAGGACGAGGGTAAGGGGCCCCTGCCGTTATGGACCTTGCTCTCTTTTGCCGGTGTGTGCTTCACCGTGGGCGAAGTGTGGCCGTGTGGACACCACTTTCCGTCCCGCTTTCTTTATTTCTTCTTGAATGTATAAAATTATTTACAAGTTGATAAAACAGAACAATATAGATATGATTACAATTGATTTCCTATATTTAATTAAGTTTCTATAGTTCCTGATTATTGGATCATCTTCTTCATTAAAGGGTTGGGTGGGTGGGATTTTCCTTTTATGTTGTCTCGAAGACCGTTGAAACCAGAGTGAACTGAGATAAGATTTGGCTAGCTTTTGCTGATAACTGAAGAATGTCGGCTTAGCAAAATAGGATTATATTGGCAGTTTGACATTGACGCTTGGCAGATATTGCCCGGAGAGGAAAGCGGTTGTTTTCCCTGGTTATCGTTACCGTTTAGGTTACATAGTTTTAGGTATGGATGTTGCCTCTTATTAATCCCAATTTATTTTTTAAATAAATTGCTCCTTAATAAATCACGCAAATCCTTTGTGGCCAAATTGGGTGACGGAAAGTGCGGTTTCTTGGGGGTAAGGGCCCCCAGAAAAGCTGGAGAAACAACATCAGGGTGAGAGTAAGGGGCCCTCACCGTTATGGACATTGAATCTCATGTCCGAGCCGGGCTTCCCCGTGGTGAAGTGATCGAGAGATGCGAAGATCAGGACGAGGGTAAGGGGCCCCCGCCGTTATGGACCTTGCTCTCTTTTGCCGGTGTGTGCTTCACCGTGGGCGAAGTGTGGCCGTGTGGACACCACTTTCCGCCATTGGTCGAAACGAAGTGTAGATCCCCCACGTGAAACTTGGTGGTCGGGAAAAAATATAAGTAATTAATATGAAGTATTTAGTATGGTACAAATGTGTGGTTTACAGTATGTAATGATGGCGTGCTGCGCAAATAAGATATATGGTGTCCACGGGATACAAACACTTATGCTACGGCTGGATAATCAGGGAGGCCAGGAAAAAACCTGCAGTACAGGAAAACCTGGGTAGGGCCAAGACCACCAGCAGCTCCCCACAAGCTTTATCTTTACAAATTAAGAAATGTCAGTATCGCGCTAGACACCACTACGCTATTCTGTTAACGTACGCATTATTTGTTTTATTGTTTTTGGTTTGGTTTCTTTTTTTTTTCTTCTTTTTTTTTTTTTGAAACTACGCTTTTGAGCAGAAATAAGAGAACAAAACGATCAGAATTAATTTGTCGCAATCCAAGCAGAACGCCACCTCACAGTAAAATATAGATTATGTCATAAATATAGTTCATATATACGTAGAGAGTTCATAGCCATTAGGACGTAGGCGTGATCCAGATAGATAAGGCGGAAACCAAGATGGCGCAAATCCTGAGATTGTCTTCGTGTCCTTCCTTCGTTTGTAGCAGAATGACTAAAAGAGAGACGGAGAAAAGCAGAAACTGCTCTGTGTAATCATGAGCTGGCCGATCATATAGGTTGTCTCGATGCGCGACGAATAAATATGGAGTGGGATGCGAGTGCTCTACTACTCCTTAATTTCGCCTTTGTCTCGGCGTGTGATGCACTGTAGTGGACTGTGAAGTATATTTAGTTCTAACTGCACGTGGGGTGTATACGCGATGGCATATAGTAGCAAATAACGTCTGAAATAACAGTGTATATAGTACTAGGAATTGTCTTCATCTGGTGAAATATGCCGTAAACCTTTTGGTTTGGTATAGGCTATATAGGTACCTACTATGTACTGGGTGTTTGTAAAAAACGCCTTGCAAATAAGGGTGACATGTCATGCATTAGTATTTCAATATTGCAGCGCGTGCCATTTGTGGTATCAAATGCGAAAATCGCTGTTGACGTATTTTGTGAGACTGGGTTTTTTGTACGTACAGGAGAATGTTGTATTTTTCTGACAGTTAAATGGCAACATGACGTACAAGCAATTTTGATGCTTTCCATATATTTACTATTCAATTTCGAAATCTCGGCCACGCAATTTCCAGTCAGAATATGCAGAAACCCATGAAAGCGGAATGTCAGCAATAAAAATGTCTAACCCAACTGCATATACCTCCGCCAGCGAATTAAGGCTTCATGTATTTTGCCACGACCAATATCGAGTGTGCATGGCAAGAAATGTTTCCCCTACAGTGGAGTTAAAATCTGTACTGAGCCTTCCTGAACGAGTGAGAAACCGACGATCTTTAAATTCTTTCACTAGCAGTATTTCCTCTGCCAGTTTGTAATTTTATACCTCGGTTGATACAGGAGTTTGGGATTTTGCGTTGTGCAATCTTTTATGGGCGGTATTTGGTTAATGATTTCTTGGGTCTTCACCGGGTTTGGAGAGTAGACCATATCGTGAGATATTGACTGTATAGTAAGGCATAATGTATGTATAATGCGTGTGTAGGGTGTTCTGTATATCTTGTTTTCGATCCATACACGCGTGTCGTGGCTGAGGTTTATATGTGCAAGGTAGTTTGTAAATTTATTCCTGATGTCCCTGATTGAGATATATGATTTGGTACAGTACATATATTATAACCTAGAGATTTGTGTATAGCGTATTGTTTGCTATATGCATGCTTCAAATTGGCTTGTATAGCTGGCTAGCGCTACAGTTTTAAGATATCTTAAATTGAGTTACAGAGTAATGAAGTCTATTTATATAATTACCACTTTGGGGTCAGGCAAAGGATACGTAATCTTACAAAATTGTTAATGTGGATCACGGGGAAAACGAAACAACATGAATATACCTCACCACAAGGAGTTAGATTATAAGATGAAAGTATTCTGCGAACTGGCATAATTTGACTGGCCATATCGAGGAATGGGCGCAAATGTAGCTGCTTTCAAGCAAAATATGTTATAAATAGGGGCATACTGTATATAACTATACGATAAAATTGTGGTCGATGGACGCAGAAGCATGTGACATGTACCTAACTGCTTAAACTGTGTTTTGGGTATAATTTCAGACTATAGCGTGTACGTGTATAGGACGACTCATTTAATGCATGTAGCCGAATGTTTCATCCTGAAAGCAGGGGTTTTTTGGGGGGTTTTTTTGAGGAAGTGCATGATATTACTTGTAAATGACAAATATATACATATAGGATTATATTGTACATATAAAATTATCGCCTAACACATGTTAACCCTGGGCTTAGACCTGCGTTTTCATAATCAATGCCTCGTAAGAGCAAGTCGCGCAATAGCTATCATGTTGATAAAATAAATGGAGCTGACAGAAGGCGAACAGTTCATGGCATGTGCTCGAATTACGCACGTAGTATGGCTCCAAAAATGTTCTACCATGGACGGATATTGGTAGGTTTATGCTGTTCGTAGCAACTTCAGCGGATAACATAACGCGCTTAAGTATAATGAGAATATGAAACGCACTCACCGGTTTAAAGTCGAACAGATCTGATGTGGATAGAAAGTAGCCGTTTCCCAGGTTCTGAACGTCGGGACTTGGAAGCTTCGATATATCCGAGAAAAAGATAGCGCGGGCATTCTCGCGTGTACGAAAAATTATTTTCCTTTTATGTTGTCTCGAAGACCGTTGAAACCAGAGTGAACTGAGATAAGATTTGGCTAGCTTTTGCTGATAACTGAAGAATGTCGGCTTAGCAAAATAGGATTATATTGGCAGTTTGACATTGACGCTTGGCAGATATTGCCCGGAGAGGAAAGCGGTTGTTTTCCCTGGTTATCGTTACCGTTTAGGTTACATAGTTTTAGGTATGGATGTTGCCTCTTATTAATCCCAATTTATTTTTTAAATAAATTGCTCCTTATTTAGTATATTTCATGTTATTTTATTTATTAAGTTTTGCACACAATATAATCAGTGTAAACACAATGACTCCGTCTCAATTTGAGCATATATAAGAAATTGAGTATTTTGATAGCGTAGCCTTCACGATATAAATATTAAACGCCTGATAAATAATCATTCATTGCGAGCACAACTGCTCCAAAATCACAACAAATAACAGAATATAAGGTAAATTAAAACCAGCAAAGCTTTACCCACCTTGATCTATTTCTCTAAGGCGCTCAATTGTAAATTTTCCGCGAACAATCAAACCTTTTTCTTTGCCTTTGTGATGAAAATGCTCGTCGAAAAAGCTCGGTAAATATATACCGATGTCGTAATTTAGGAATTTGCCACGTGACCGATACGCTCACCACCGCTAACCGCTCACGACGACACGAAATTTAGAGCTATATGAAAGTTGCATGCCATATCAACAAAATGAGCAAATACGAATCCGATAAAAAATGTTAGTCAGAATCGCATATTTTTACCGTTGCGAGTTGGGCCTAGAACCATTGAAAATGAACCCCCTTTGGTACGTAAGTTGATGAATTTCACCGACTTCAATAAACGACGCACATATTCATAATTATTATTAAGTAGGAATAAATCTTAGCTCAGCTACGACACATTCGTGAAAAATTGCTTTTTCTTTTGTTATGCATTGTTTTAATTAAGCACAGAGGTGAAAAAATGCGATTGTGACTAACATTTTTAATCGGCCTCGTACATGTTTATTTTTTCTCCACTTGACATGAAAACCATGTCATTCAATAGCTATTAGCCTGATCTTTCTGAATATGAAAACCAATTGTTCGTACGCCGAGTAATTTACGTATAATAGCGCGCTGAAGTTCGATTACCTTTTTTTCTATACACACCCTATATATATATATATATATATATAATAGTCTGTGTTAGGTTATAAAAACCAATGATAGAGTGCTCAATGGATAACCAGAGCATAATAGAAAGACACAAAAACTTAGCAAGCTTTGTTTGGCATATTTATTACTATACAGTTTCGTACCACGTAAATAACGATTATTTACGTGGTACGAAACTGTATAGTAATAAATATGCCAAACAAAGCTTGCTAAGTTTTTGTGTCTTTCTATATATATATATATATATATATATATAAATACTAACTTAGATTTTGATATATTAGAGTTGTATTTCACTTAAAAATTCACGGAGATATTAATGCTTAAAATCGGGAGCATATTTCTGGATGTGTCTGAAATATGCAAAAAACGCCGTATCAAATATCAATCAACATTTGCCCGACTGAAACATGCACTATTACCAGTAAATAAATGACATTTGACAAATTTTTATTATGAAACAAAGTATTATTATCTACAAAATACAAGCAAGATTTATTTGTCCGAAATCCGTGTGCATGTGTTCCTAGCACGAATACGTTTCCTTATTTCATGAAACCACTGCATCGCGAAGGATCGTCATGAATATCCGCGTTCGTAGTTCTGAATTAGGGCATGCTGTCACAATAGAATTGTGAAGCTCTTCTAACTTCTTCAAAGTTCTGAAATCTTGTTAAGAAAACTCAAACTCTTTTGCCTTTTCTTAATATTGTTTATCTTGTTAAGTTCAGAATAAACTGAGAATGAAACACAATCAAACCATACAACTCCATAAGTCATAACAAGCAACTCCCCAGAGACATCTAAAATTTTTGGAACAAAACGTAACAAAATACTAGCGTCGATACTGTGATGTGTGTTTGCAAAAAGCAATATTATTTCCTTCATAATAAGAATATTATTCATCCTGCTCTAACCGAGAAATAATCAACTCTGTTTTTAACCCATGAAAAACATAATAAAATTAGGCTATTTAATTTAAGAAAAATTTAAGCGCCTGCGTTAGTGGTCTTTCATGTACCTTTAAGTTTGTAAAGACCTATAATTAAATACTTGCATAATTTCGAACATTCATATTTCAGGAAACAATGACATGAGCTAAGACTTACATGCATGTTAAGATGTCTAAATCTACGCCATATCCCTTATACAAACCCTAACGGCAATTCGTTGAAATACAAGTTAGCCTGATATGTCATTAAACAAACAAACGCTGGAGTTTATGCCGATTTTCGCTAATTTTAGACACATCCCAAAATATGCTCCCAACTTTGAACATTAATATCTCGGTGAATTTTTAAGTAAAATACAACTGTAATATATCAAAATCTAAGTTAGTCCTTCCTATATGTAATGCAAGTTATTTCTGTTTGATAGCATTACTTGTTTAGAAGTTATTATAAATCAAACAGGAGTACTTTTTTTTGGGACACCCGTATATATATATATATATATATATATATATATATATATATATATATATATATATATATATATATATATATATTATATATATATATATATATATATATATATGTATATGTATATGTATATGTATATGTATATGTATATGTATATGTAATATATATGTAATATATATGTATATGTAATATATATGTAATATATATATATATGTAATATATATACATGTAATATATATATATATGTAATATATATACATGTAATATATATATACATGTAATATATGTATATATATATATATAATTTCGCTTACCTCAAAATTCCGCAACAGTCTGTTTCATCAGTAAAGAATCATCA